TGTTGATTTCAGAGGAAGATGACAGGACATGAACTCAAATAGAGGGAGATTAAAATCAAATTCTGGTCAGCAGATAGCCTGTTGAAATTGTGGCAAGATTGTCCACATAAAGAGTAACTACAAGAATCCTAAGAAGATAGAAAATGATAGCGCTAATATGATATTTGAAGAAGTGCAGGATGTACTGTTGTTGATAGTTCATAGTTCTATTGATGATAGAAGTGAAGAGGAGAGCGGGTCCTGGGCACTCATTTCTATTGTTCCACAGACAGATGGTGGAGAACCACAGAGTTATGAAGAAATTTTGCAAGATGAAAGTTCGAGCAAGTGTGAGCTGACAGTGTGAGCTGACAGAACTTTCACCAGAGAAGAATACATTACACACCAAGTGGGTGTATCAGGTGAAGATTGAGCATGCTGACAGTAAGAGGTATAAAGCTAGCTTGTTGGAAAGATTTTCAGCAGTGGCAGAATATTGTTCATGCAATGGGAGTTGCAAGCAGAGATAAGAGTAACACATGAAATAGTTTGGAGGTGCAAGGCTATGTGGACACTGCTGATATGTTGACTAAGGGTGTTACTCTTGAAAAATTGAAGTTGTGCACAGCTTCAGTTGGTCTTCTGGTGTGAAAACAAGAGTTTTGAGTTGCAGAGGTAGAGGATTCATGTTGAAGAAAAAAAGGCGATGCCGCTAGTGGAGAAGGTAGGAGATGTTGCTGCCTGTGTACCGGTCTCTAAGTGGGAGATATGTTATGATGGAGTCCGGTCCGCCCAACCCGCCTCTCGCTCTCGCTCCCGCTCCTGATCACGAAAAGTCGTGATTCCTCTCTATTTTGAGAAAACCGCTGCTCCTGCCTCTAGATTCGCGAAATGTCGCCTCCTTGCACCCTCAAATTGAAGCTTCGCTTCGCCTTGTTCCTTTAAGTCGCGAACAGAAGAGGAAGAAAGATATTGCAAGCCATCACACGACTTTCCTTTAGATTTAGCACGGCCTTTTTTGCGTTATTGAAGAGAAGTGCAAACAGTAGTTCTTTGCGGCTGAAGGAAGAAGAAAGAAGAAGAAGAAGATTGTTCTCCTTTGGTTTCTTCTTGGTGCTTGTGGCAAAAGAGAAATTATGTTTATTTCTCTTGTAAGTTTATCTTCTTCGGTGTATCTCGATGTAGAGAGAGAAGAAGAGAGAACAACGAAGTGAGAGATTCCTCTTGTAAATCGAGACGGTCGACTGGTATAAATTCCTCATATAGTAAAATCTTCTGCAACTTCGTAGATGTAGGAAATTTGCCCTACCACGTAAATTTGTGTGTTCCACTGTGTTACTGTTTTCTGGTGTGAATTTTCTCGTTCTATTTTTCGCTTCTTCGTCAAAGATCGTTCTTCTATCTTATTTTATTTCTACATACCACAACAGATTTTGACCTCGAGGACTAGGCCAAATTTGAGAGGGGAAGTAATGATATAAATTTGATTACTGCAACTACATAAAATAGGAGCATAATACCAAGATAATCAGCCTGAATGAATGATTTTATTTAGATAGGTGTGATTGTATGTCCTTATAATTGTTCTGTCTTATCTTTATGGTAGATTGTTAAAGAATGATTCCTGTATTCTTCATTAGTTCGGTCAGCTATAACTGACTCAAGTTGTTAATGGACAACTGAGTTATGGTGATCTTTGTGAAGAATATAAAATACTGGAGTCGGGAGGGTTGGGGGAAGGTGAGGGGGAGTGGGGGGAGTGGTGTTGAAATTTTTTTTTTTTGGAGTGGTGGAAGTGAAGAGCCACTTGAGGAGCTCATTTGGGTTAAGGATCTCATCATATTATAACTTGATCAAGGCTAAGTGGTTTTTAGCTTTGGAAGTTTGCCTTATTGAAGGTGTTTGTGAAATGTGAATGGAACGAGACAAGTTTCCACATAAATTAGGGCGGAAATAAATGATTTTATTTTGCCTATATCAAATCAAAACGGTACAATCTGAAATGCATAAAAAATAGATATACAATTTGAGAAGTAGGCGATCTCTCCCAACACTATCTCTAAAATTCAAGACAACAATCATACATAACTTAACCCTAAACATATTGAACTTTATTTATGCCTCACAGTAATAACTAAAAAATGGCTAAGTCTTGCGCCTAACATAAGTCAAATTATTTGGCGAGCTCGGTGCTGACTCAATCCAACATAGCCGCCAATGTTATTTTCCATGGAACAACTGTACACTAGGATATTGTGAAAGAACACCAACACAACTTTCGAAGGAAAGGCTGAAACACCTTCTTCATCTGTGATTGAAATGTAGCTGCCATTTCGGTTAGCCCAAATGGCACACCCTGGAATTCATAGAGACCCTCTTTAACTCGAAATACAGTCTTGTGTACATCTATCGGATGCATCCAAATTTGATTGTATCCCGACTTCAAGTCAATCTTGGAGAATACTACAGTCTCAAACAACTTGTCCAATAGCTCATTGATCACCATGATGATAAATTTGTTTGGTATTATTTCCTTATTCACTGCCCGATATTCCGCGCAGGAGCGCAGGAATGCCATCTCCCATTTTTTTTCACTAGCAAGTTGGGTTGAGAAGGAGCTCACACTAGGCTGTATGATCTCGAACTCCAACTCCTCTCTGATCAATCTCTCAATCTCATTCTTTTGTACCTCGGCGTAGCGGTGTGTGCACACATTGATTGGAGAAACCCCCGATCTCAAGTTTATTGCATGCTCATGTTCTTTCTAAGGCTGAAATTCGTGTGGCAAGTGGAATGCTTTTGCAAATTATTGTAAGAGTTGTGGGATTGGTGCTGAAATGTTTGCCAACCTTGCATCATGTCTTTTCCATACTATGCAACTCGATTAAGAATCTCAATCCAATGTCTGCCTTAACCATAGTCTTGAGTGTCACCAAGGTTTGGCACAAACTTGGCACCACTATCTTGACACTAATTATTATACTTTTGCAGCAAAATTATAGTAATCCAATAATAAAATATATCAGAATTCCTACCAAATCTCATTTGGAATTGGTGATGGCTGTGAAAGTTTAGCTGGTAGTTGTGTGTCGTATTTAACATGAGCTGAAGTTCTTCTTATGCCATTATAACCACCAATAAGACTGGAATGTAATTTTGTGAAGTTCTTATTTTACAGTGTGTTGTAACTGACAAAACAATTCGGGGTTTAAAGTATACTAAACCATTTCAAATATAGTGATTAGTAAATTCAATTGTTTTTCTTGCAATATTGTCAAGAAGTTGTTGCATATTTCGTAAAGCATGTGTCTCTTATTGTATATGCTTAAATAACAAGGTAGTTTGCTGAGTATAGGCCATAAGTGTTCCGCCCTCTGAACTGAGAGCATTAGAATCTTACTTAACCTCTATATTAGGTTCTTCCTTTCTAGATAAAGCAGCAACCACTTTATTTGAAGCACCTGCATTACACTCAATCATATAATCAAAGCCTAACAACTTCACAAAAAATATTTATTTTATTTGGGTGTTTCAATTAACTATTGCATCAATTCCTTGATGCTTCAATGATCTGTTCAAATAGTGAAGTGCATTCCAAGGAAATACTCTCGCTAACTACCTACTACTTCAGTAATGACATACATCTCTCTCGCATATGTTTGATGTTTTTTTGCATATTTGGTGAAAATTTCTCACTAAAATATGCCAGTGGGAGTGAATGTTGTGACAATACCATACCAATAGCGATCCCAGAAGCATCCCTTTCAATGACAAATGGCAATGAAAAGTTTGGAACCAAAATTGGCAATGATAACATGGCATGTTTTAAAGCATTAAAGGCGGCTTGAGTTAATTCTGTGACAATTATTGCATAATTTCAAACAACTTTTTTGTAATATCCTGTTAGACATAAAAAATCATCTTAATTGATTTATTGATTTATGTATCGGCCAAGCTTGCATTGCATCCATGCTTTAGCTGAATCTGCTTCCACATCAAAGGTTGAAATGATATGACCCAAGAATTCCAATTATGCTCTTCCAAATACACGCTTGGAAGACTTTATGTATAACAGGTGATCTTGTAATGTTTGAAAGATAATAAAAAGATGGTCCATCTCTTCGTTTTTTGACTTACTGTATATGAGTATGTCATCAAAGAATACTAATGTAAATCATCGTAGGAAGGGACAAAGTATAGTATTCATCATCGAATGAAATGTTGTTGGTGTTTTATTAGTCTGAATGGCATCCCTATGAACTTATAATGCCCCTCATGTGTTCTTAATCTTGTTTTAAATATATCATTCTCTGACATCCGAATCTGACGATAACTTGATCCTAGGCCTAATTTTGAAAACTCTATAGCCCCACATAATTCATCAATAAATCCTTATAGTGCCGGCACAGGAAAGCTATCTTAGATAGTGATGTTGCAAGTAATCAATACAAAACCTCTATGTTTCATCTTTCTTTATTAATTATAACAAAGGTGAAGAAAAAAAACAGGGTGCTTTCACATACAAAACCTATCTCCAACATTTTTTTTTACCCTCTTCTCAGCTTCTGTGGGTAAACATTAATTAGTTTTGCTCCATCTCTCAATGGAATATGATGATCCACTGATCTTTAAGAAGATACTTCCAAAAGGTTCTGAAATATTACTTGGTATTCTTGTACCAATTTTCCAATTTCTGATCGTAATTCACTCAAATCACTTGCTTTGTTTTCAGCTGTCATATTAAAACAAGATGCCAATGTTTCTGCAGCAATATTCTACAAAAAGAAAAGAAAGAAAAAAAAAACTATCAAGTAGATAAACCATCAACATTTCCGCTTGCAGCATTGCCATCCCATGAAAATCTGTAATCCGCCACACTATTCGCTCAGATTCTTATTACAAAGTTACTCAACAGTATGAAGAAAAGAAGCACCTAAGCAGCCTACAGACCGAAACATTACTTAAAATTCATTAGTGGAGCGAAGGAAAGCAGAAAGGAGGGGAGATGCTAGAAAGTTAACCTGGAGCGAAAACGGAAGAGCTCAAAAACATCCGATTGTTGAATCTCGATGAGAGTAAAAGCGTGCGGCGGAGATGTAAGCCGCGGAAGGGACGCGCCACCCAGCAACAGTCCGCAAACACCGTCGACGCCGCCATCTATGTAGAAATTCTAGAGAGGGAGCAATCGAGGAGACGAGGAGAAGGAATATTAGCTGAAGGAAAGTGCAGCAGCCGAGGGGTAGGGCTGTAATCACCGGACTAGCTAAATTTTTACATTATATATATATATATATATATATATTTATGTTCAATTTATACTTAATTTGGTTATATTAATTATAAAACTAAGATGTTCAAAGAAGTACTTAAAATTTTTTATATAAATTTTAAAATCTAATTGACCCTAAACTTTTGATATAAAATTATTAAATAGGCTAAAATTAAATGAGTAATTAATTTTTAACATAAATTTATTAAAAAATTAAATAACATTTAATTAGTTTATACGAAATAAGTTTTTCAAGAGAGATTTAAACATTAAATCTTTTTTTCTTTTTTTCTTTTTTTTATACATGTCACCTTATATATTAAAAAGCATATTTCATATTTTGGCACAATTGCAAGTTAGACTTCTTTACTTATAAAACACCCAAAACTTGCTATTTATAAATCAACTGCCCTCTTTCATCCATTCTTAAAATTCTCTCTCAAATTTCAAAACTCATGATAAAACCCAACTCATATTTTTCATTTTTTATCAAATTCTCAATAATTTCATCATGCCTTCTGTAGTTCAAAAAAATCACTTGAAAGTTTAATTTGTAAATATCAATATTTTGAATGTTTTGTATATAATTATCCTTTTTTTAATATAAAATACGACTTTTTAATATAAAATATAAATTAGACAACATGAAAATTTTTAAATTTTTCATATTTTTATTTTTTGCGCATTTTAGGACAAAATAGAAGAGATTAAATCTATAAACATTTTTCTCTTTAGTTTATCATTTAAAAATTTAAATAAGAATATTAATTTTCTTTTTTTTCTCAGCAAATCTAACTATTAATATAGCATATGACCTTCGAGATGGAAATAGAAAGTTCTCTTCTAATTTTATTTGAAAAATCATACATTTTCACTCATAGAGAAAATACTACATAACACATATTATGATGAGTTTTATTTTGTTCAGTTGATATGTTAGAACCTCACCACATGTAAGAATTAGTTAGGAATGTGTTGACATGATGAGATGAGAAAATCCATTATTATAACTATAAAAATACAGCGTTGAACCTAGATTTGAAACCCTTGGCTCATCCAAATACCTTCTAATTATATGCAAGGGTTTCAATCTTGATATTTATTGGGAAAACTTTATAATGATTTCTAAATATAATTATACATCGAAAAGGTACTTGCATTGATCTTAAGTAGATCTAACGATCCAGAAATGGTAAGTATGATGAAGACGGACCTATTGTCAGGAGATCGTAGGGGCCACCTGACTGAAGAGCCAAGCCAATCGGGCCAAAATTGGCTGATCCATGAGGTAAATAAGAAGACGACCAAGCAATTCAACCATGAGCCACATGACCAAAAATGAGATGAAAGCACATCTGAGCCAACCACTACAAAAAAACTGACTTAATAAGATACCCTATCCACAGTAGAGCTGATCCAAAGGAAGATCCAATTCAACAAAATATTTCCAACCATCTCTTTGAGACTCCAAAGGCTCCTCATCAAAGAGAGAGAGAGAGACAGCAGTCAACTAGGCTGGACCAGGTGACCGAATCACACCGACTAAGCTCAGTCGAATGAGCAGATCAATCACATCAACCCAAAGTCAACTAAGCTTAGTCAGTTGAGCCAGGAGGCAACCAGACGAGAAGCCCATAAATGTAAAATATTAGAAATTCCCCAATAAATATCCTCTTTAGGTAGGGATTAAAATATAATAACATGCTCGTATTAAACCTCTATAAATAGAGGAAGCATCTAATCAAGAAGGTAACACTTTTACTATTCATTCTCTCTCTGTATTCTCTCTTTATTTATGATTTATTCCTTGGGTGTGATTCACGAACAATCTCGAATTCAATATCCTAAAAGGAGCGGAGAGTGTGGATCATACTACCAATAAGAAGAGAATCAATACAAAGAAAAGAATCAATCCATAGAGAAGTGGCTAACAACATATAACGCATTAGAGAACTTCCCCAAGCGAATAGTCAAAATAGTCAATTCGACTCAGCCAGCTTTAGTCGATTCAGACACCGGCTCCATTTGGCTTGGCCAACTTCAATCGACCCAACCAGCATTTTCAGCTCAGCCAACTCTATTATGCTCACCAGCTCCAATCAAACTAACTACGAACTCAATTTAGTTCAGTCAGATCTAGTCGGTCAGGCGCTACAGTCAGCCAGAAAAATTGCTCTCGTGTGAATGTTCTCTCAAAAACATTTTCAGAAAAAAAAACTTTGTCCAAGGGAAGATAAGTCAAGGAGTGAAACCAAGCAACAAGAAAAACTCTATAAGGTAAATCTCTCAAGTCCCTCCTTAATTTTTTTTAATTGCCTTTCTGCTTTTTCATACTTTTTCAATTCGCCCATAGCACTCGAGGAACTTGCCTCTCACAAGCAAGTTTCTAAATAATTAAAAGAAAATGGCATATTTTTGGACTCTACTCAACTTAATATTTGAATGTTAGGGATGGTTTTGGAGAATATATTTTCAAAATGTAACTTAGTCAAAATGAATGAAGTCAGTTAAAATAGGGTTGAAGATCACAAGATCTCAACCAAGGTCAAGTTGAAAATTTATGGTCTATATTCCTTGTAGGAGAACTACGACACCTAGGTGAAGGATAGTCTGAATTTATTGAAACTACTTGAATTTCCTGATAATTGAGTCATATTAAAAGAAAATAATCAAGTATAGTTGTCTAAAAAAAGGAAGCTCCTTTCACTGATAACAACTTTAGGAACTATTCTTATAAAACTAAGTCAACTATAATAGTAATGAGTTGGTGATCTATGAGACTACTCCCTAAAGGGAAGCCAAAATGCACCCATGATGAAATCTTGTGTGAGAGCTGAGAGCCCCAATGTAGTTGAATACTTGACGTATAGATACCCCACTCATTTTTTAATTAAATAATTTTTTAACTTGTACTTGGAGAAAAGCATGCTATGTTTTATTGAGAGGAATAATTTTTCATATTCCAATAAAACTTATGGTTCATTGATCATATGTGGGTAATTTTTATCAAATTGTCTTCATGGATATGTTATCAAAGTATTTTAACATGATTCAATTTCGACATACACTTTTGATCTATCTCACAAAAACTATTTTATAGAAGTTCTCCATATGTTTTGTACGTTTAGTTTCTCTTTCTAATTCCTCTACTTCTTTGAATCATTTTGATGTTCCAAGAAAGAAGGTTATTCAAAAAATATAGTTATAAAATAAAAATTAGACAAGCTAACAACTCCGAGTTAAAAAGAGCCAAGATAAAATATGTTGACTCTACTGGGGAGGAGACTCTCACTCCATTTTAAGAGTTTCTTATATATTGTGACCTAGTATTCATCTTTGTGTCACTCTTGTTACAACTTGACTTTGGAATTGGATCTATTTATTGGTTGCTATGGTTATCATCTCGATGTTATTCCATCTCTTTCCCGCCCTTAGTATTTCAGTTACTACTTTTTCATACTTAATTGGTGATGTTGTATACTTTGGTTATAAATTTAAACTTTGCTTGCATTTGATAGTTGTCTTTTTTGATAATAATTACTATTGAATCTTCTGAGTGAAACACTATTTCATTTCCTCTGGTATTTTACATGAGGAATAATGGATCATTAGCTTTTGTTCCTTCGAGCATCATGCTAAGATTACCCTAAATAACCCTAAGCTTGTTGAGGCATCTTCCATATTTCTTCCTCAAAAGAAGGGGAGTCATACATATGAAACTTCTCTCATTGCAGTTGCTCATATTGGTACTACCCTTTTGTCAAAGAAAAGGCCATTAATAGATGGCAACACATTGCATCATCCTTCAATTTTCACTAGACTATTTGGTTGCCCTTCTATGATTTATAGATTATATACTCCTATGGTTGGTGCATCTCATATTAGCTCTAAGGTACCTAATGGTTTTTTTTAAATAACTTAATTTAATATATATAAATTTTAATTTTTAAAAGGGAGTTTTTAATTTTGAAAAATGTGACCGAATAGCTCTCATATGTTCAATGATTTAAATAATCGAGCACAACATTACAAGTAATGCTTCATCCTAAAAGATAAGAATATCACTCTATAATAGTCTCAATTATTCAAACTAAAAATTTTGTGATATTTATTTGGTCTACAAAATTTTCAACAGAGCATTCCTCTACTTAATCTCCAGATAGTTAGACTTTTTGGGTTATTAATTCTTCTATAGGCGCAAGCCCCTATAGTTAATTACATATTAAGCGGCCAAAATTACTTAAGAAAACTCTCATTTAGGACTAGGGTTTTGTCTTCAAAGTTTAGTTTTTACAATTTTTCATAGGAAAATCAACTGGGAAAGACTCAAACAGGAACAACTATGTTGGAATCCAAACGAGCGAAATGAAAGAGATGTCACAGATACTGAAAAGACCTCAATGATTTCCCAAATTGTCATATTGTTTGGCTTTATATTTTTGAGAGTGACGCTATTTAATGTTTTACTCCTACAATTTATTTAAAATTTAGGGCTTACATTTTCACGACATACAATCATGCAAATAGCCTAATAACATGGGAGGATTTACGTTGTACCGAACAACAACCTCAAGATTCAAAAAAGAGTTACGGCTTATATCACACGACATACAATCTTGTGAAAGCCTAAAAGATAATGTGAGGATTTACGCCGTCCTAGACGAGCAACCTCGAAGTCCTAGGGGTTTATGTTGATTAAATCTATGGAAAGTTTAGTTGAGGTTCATCATTCACTTCATGTTTTTTCTTCTCATGATCGCCTTGATGGTTGATAGCTACTTATTCACATCCTCACCTAATTCCATGTAAAGAAAAAGAAAGAGAAAAACATGCCTTAGGAGGCCTATCCTAGGTTTTTGTTTTTTGTTTGATGTGATCCTCTAAAGTGTATTTTGATTTGATGATGATTATTATTAAAGTGATTAAAATGAGGATTTTATTTTATGTTAAGCGATTCCGGTCAAGATCCCATGGTTTTGTC